CGTTTAGCCTGACCTTGACCTCTATTCCTGTCCTGGAAGAAATTCCTGCACTGGAATCTGTCCCCCCGGGGCCCCAATACCTGTTCTGCTGAAATTCAGGTTCAGAGGGCCGATAGAACTGTCGTCTGCGATATGAAGCTGGGCGGGACTCTTGGCGCTTAGCCGTAGATGGGAGGACTTTCTTTTTCTCCTTGTTTTCCACCAAAATGGGATCCAAGGATTCCCCAAAGAGCTTTTCGCCTGCATATGGAGCTGATGTCACGTGAAACTTTGACTTATTATCAACCTGCCAGTTCTTTAATCACAGGAGTCGTCTTGAGGCTACAGAGGCAGACAAAGCTCGAGAGGCAAATTTAACCGAATCAAGAGTGGTATCAGCGGAATATTGGGTCGCCGCAATGATCTTGCTAAGATCTTTCATTGTGTGGGCGTCCTCAGGGGGTGTCCGCTCCTGCAATTGTTGTTCTATTGAAAAAGGAAGCAGCTGCTGCTGCCTTAATAGCCCAAGTTGAAGCCTGAGGATAAGTTCTGCTTTCTTATTCTCAGGCTTCAACTTGTCTGCCACATCTCCTGCAACTACAGCTGCTGAAGAAGACAGAGCGGCAACAGGGGTGTCAACCTTAGTTACCTAGAGAGGCTGGGAGAAGGTTTGATCCATATTGTAAAGCTTCCTGTTCTTTAGTTATCTTGACCCATTCCAGTCCGGCTTCAGGCCTGGCTACAGCACAGAAACCACTTTGGTCGCATTGACCGATGACCTCTGGAGAGCCAGGGACGGAGGCCACGCCTCCATCCTGGTTCTCCTTGACCTCTCAGCGGCTTTCGATACCATCGACCATGGTATCCTTCTGCGACGACTGCGGGAGGTGGGGGTGGGAGGCACTGTTTTGCAGTGGTTCTCCTCTTACCTCTCGGACAGGTCGCAGTCGGTGTTAGTTGGAGGGCAGAGATCGACCCCTAGGCCCCTAACATATGGGGTGCCGCAGGGTTCGGTCTTGTCCCCCCTACTTTTCAACATCTACATGAAACCGCTGGGCGAGATCATTCGGCGGCACGGGATAAGATACCACCAGTATGCGGACGATACCCAGTTGTATCTGTCCGCCCCGTGCCAACTCAATGAAGCGGTGGACGTGATGAACCAGGGCCTTGAAGCTGTTAGGGACTGGATGAGGGCTAACAAGCTTGTGCTCAACCCAGATAAGACCGAGTGGCTGTTGTGTTTCCCTCCCACTAATTTGGCAAGTGTTCCATCTCTCAGGCTGGGGGGTCAAACACTACACCCCTCAGACAGGGTCCGCAACTTGGGAGTCCTCCTGGACCCACAGCTGACTTTTGAACACCATTTGTCAGCTGTGACCAGGGGGGCATTTGCCCAGGTTCGCCTGGTGCACCAGTTGCGCCCCTACCTGAATCGGGAGGCCCTCACAACAGTCACTTGTGCCCTTGTGACCTCTAGGCTGGAGTACTGCAATGTGCTTTACATGGGGCTGCCCTTGAAGAGTATCCGGCGACTTCAGCTAGTCAAGAATGCGGCCGCGCAAGCGATTGTGGGTGCACCTCGGTTCACCCACATAACACCTATCCTCTGCGAGCTGCACTGGCTACCTGTCGATCTCCGGGTACGCTTCAAGATGCTACTTGTCACCCATAAAGCCCTTCATGGTAGTGGATCTGGGTACTTGAGAGACCGCCTACTGCCAATTACCTTCACGCGACCAATTAGATCACATAGATTAGGACTCCTCCGAGTTCCATCTGCTGGTCAGTGTCGACTGGCAACCATGTTGTATATATATATATATATACACAAAGTTCACTTAACAACTGTCTTGCTTAGCGATGCAAATTTGAGGGTCAATTGTGGCCGTAGGTCGAAGTCTATCTGTGATGTTATATTTTTCTTCACACTTTCAATTGGATAACTCTGTGTCAATCAGTAACGTTTGGGAGTCAGCAGCACCTTTGCTGCTTTTTGAAAGCATATACAAAATGGCTGATAGGGGGATCAGATCTATTTATAACAATGGCTGCCATCTTGAGCCTGGTGACCTAGAGTGATCCTTTTCTCCCCCAAAAGGGATCAGGTGAAACACTTCCCTATCCTATATCTTGTCTAGAGATACCTTCTTCTTCTTCCTGCCTACTTTTAGCTCTTTTTTAGGCAAACACTTCCAAACAAAGAACAGGGCTAAAACCACTCCCCATTTCTACTTTTTAAGAATGCTTACAGGGTTGGTGTGATTCTTAGAAGCATGCTCATAAATAAAGACAATCCTATCTTCTCTGGTGGTTTGCTTTGCAGTCAGCCTATTTATAATTTTTCCATTAGATAGGGAAGAGCTCCCTATGGATAGTAGAGGAGTACATCTATGTAGTTAGAGTTACCAGGCTGCCTAATGGTGGTCTTGGTTTCAGGCTTGCTTTTGGGTTCAGTTCAAGGTCTTTAAAAATTCTTCATTGCCTGGAACCAGGCTTTCTGAAGGACTTTCTCATCCGTCATTAGACCTGGTAGAGAAAGCATGCTTTGGGTAGCATCAGCTAGGGATCTACATTTGGTGGGTCTGGAGACATAAATTATTCTTCCCTTCCCAAAATTAGATTATCTCCATCTCTTTTGACGTTTCAGAAGACCCTCAAGAACTAGTCATGTCATTAGTCTTCCAGGAAACCAGAGATTTGCTTTAGATGGCCCCATTATTGAGCCGAATGTTTTTAATCCTCTCTTTATCTAGGAGTTTCTGTTTTTGTTTTTTCATACTCTTTATTTCTTAATTTATTTTTTAAATATTTTGTTAATATCTATTGCTTTTATAGCTGTGGGTTTTATCCAACTGTGCTCTGTCCAGAGTCGCTTTTGATGAGATGGGCAGCTATACAAATTTGATAAATAAATAAATAAGCAAGCAAGCAATTTCTTGTGATACGTTGAAGCTATGAGGAAACCACAGAACACAGTAACCAGGAAATAGATGGTTATATCATTTCTGTACTGTCGACCATAGAGATTATAGTGTGTATAAATTATGGTTGACTTATTTTGTGTCCAGGGACTATGAAAGATGCAGAGATTATGTTGCCTAGCGAAAGCACAACCATCTACCGTAATCCCACTTGCAGTTAAATACCTTCCAAGAATATTTCTTTGGTATTTTTGTGAGTTTCTGCATCCATGCTTTTATATTTTAATATCTCCACTATTACCAAGAGGCATGCAGAACTACCAACTGCCAAACACTGCCAAATTAAAGTGAATAATACTTATTTCTAAATCTATCATGAAATAAATCTTGTTCTAAATATCATTCAGTGAAATGGCATTCCAAAATAGCTTCTTAAAAAACTGTCAAGGTGATTAATATTATGTGTGCAATGCAAGTAGATAGCGGACTTCTTGTTGCACAGTGGAAAAGATATTTTCTAGTTGCTTTCATTGAGATATTGGTAACATCTTATCTAATAACTGAAAATTCTAGTATGACAGAATGGATTTATGAGGACTAATATCTTGGAAAATATCATGAGGTAAGGCACTGCATAACTGGGTGTTAAGAGCCAGGGTAAAAGAGGTAAAAGATTGCACCCAAATCTTGTAACTCAAAATCAATAAAGAGTGCTGGTTGATTTTGGGGAGGAGAGGTATTGGCAAAACAAAAAACAAAAAAACCACTACAAAGACAGAAATCCAAGAATCTTATGGCAGAGCTTCTTTTTCACATACATTTTCTTGAATCTCAAGCCTCTTCAGAAATCATTCTCTAGGGAGGAACGTTTTCAGTCTAGATATTTGCAGGTGGAGGAAAAGAAGGGAAATAAACATGTTTTAGAAAAATAAAAGTATTTTAGTCATAGGAAAGAAACACAACTACATTATATTCCCTGGTGGATGTTTAGCAGAGGCTTAAAAGACATTCCATATGCTTTAAGACAGAAGGCCCCATTTAATTTCTGGGATTTCCTTTTTAAAAGGATGTTAAGCAGCCAGGTTGGCTACTGCTGGGTGGGGGAGAGTATCCGAGTGGCCTGTGAGACATTGGGAAGCCTGGAGAGGGGGCTGCTGCTGTGTGGGAGAGGGTCTGTCAGCGGCCTGAATGACTGTGATGAGCCTGTGGGCTGGCTGCTGCCAAGTGTGGGAGTGTGCGAGCAACTTTCAAGATGGCTTGTGACCTTCTCTGGCAAATAGTGAACATGTGACCTCAGTTCAATGTAATCATACTAAGTATGAGCCAGTTATGACCCAGATTGTGATCATGTGACTTCAGGGATGTATGAGAACTGGTTGTTAAGCAGTGGTGGGATTCAAATTTTTTTACTACCGATTCTGTAGCCATGGCTTGATGGGCATGGCAGGGAAAGGATACTGTAAAATTTCCATTCCCACCCAACCCCAGGGAAAGGTTACTGCAAAATTCCCATTCCCTCCTGATCAGTTGGGACTCGGAAGGCAGAGAATAGATGGGGATGGGGGCAGTCAGAGGTGGTATTTACCGGTTCTATGAACTACTCAAAATTTCCACTACCGGTTCTCCAGAAGTGGTCAGAACCTTTAACTCTCCTTTTTGAGCACCCTTATATGTTTGTACATTCGCTGAACACATGGTCAATAAGCAAGGACTACCTGTAATGAGTAGTATTAGTTGCAGTTCTGTCAGTAAATAAAAATGTATTAATGACCTGTGAAAACCAGTGGGATGTTATCTATAGTGTGTATCACTCTTAATTGCTTGTTACCTAACCACTTCTCAATTCAGACATTTCTGAAAAGGTGTAATGGTTCAGAGGTACTCTTGTCTTGAAGACAGATTTTGGTGGTTCCATCCATTTGTCTCCATTATTATCCCTCTAACAAAACAGTTGCATTTGGATGCATAAACTTTTATAATATTGAGATTATGTTTTTTTTTTTAAAAAACAAAAACATTGTATTCAAAAGTTTTTAGCGGTGTTTAAAATGGAGGGCTTTTGCAAGAAGGATAATTTTACCTATTTGTTTGTAACAG